TTGGACTTTATGATCTTGAAGGTTCTTTCCACCCTTAGTGTTTCTGTGATTCTGTCTTCTATAACAAACAAAAGTCTTGCTATGTAATTAACAGTTTCTTAGTTGTAATTAATGGGATATTAAAATATCATTGTAAGAAGTTTTTCTTTGCACTTTTATCTTTTTGCTTTGAAATATTTCCACATGTGAGTTCTAGAACTTAAAAGAAGCCTTTGGAATATTGTGTTTGCTATGCTGTACAGCAACTTTGCCTTGGGGTTTTTTGCTTTTTAGGACAAGCATTTGAGTTAATGTGTTTCTGGTAAGTCTACAAATGTGGGCACAAACAGCTAAGGGCATCACTTTAGGACCTTTTCTAGATATTCAGAGAAAAAGAACACTGTAAAGCATGACTCCCCTCATGTACAAGCAAATCTTAAGGGGACTAGCTCCAAGACAGACATGGAGATGTCTAAAGTCAGTTTAAAGGAATACCACTGAGGCACCTGGGATATATCTGCACTTTATTATATAATCTAGAACTGAATGGCTTCTCCACAACAGAACAGAAGAGCCACCTGGTCAGAAGCAGGACATTGTTCAGCAAAACAACATGTACAACACCCATAGCATACTAACTTTGAAGAAGAATCCTCTAAAACAAGGGCTAAAGAAATGAAGTGAAATGGAACGATGTACAAAGTCAGTAAAGACAGCAAAGGAGACAGACAGACAAGAAGCTAGAAAAAGACAGGGAAAGGATGTTAAATATTTCCTCAACCCAAGCCATAGAGCTGACTTTGCAAGGCAACATTGTGAAACAAAACCCTATGTCTACATCTACAGGACCAATAAATGCAGGTTTGTTTTAGAAAGCCTCTGTGCTCTGTTGTAACAAATGGCTGATGCCAAAATAGTCTTAAAATGGGTTCACATAGCTATGACAAAACCACCGAGATGAGCAACAGTTTTCTAAAATAAGCCATGATTCAAAAAAGCCAGCAATTCATCTTCAAACAAAGGCCAAACCGTGGGTTGTTAACTTTTCTGGCTCCAAGTCTAGAGTAAAAACTCCTCTGATTTGTATCTTTGATTGGCATTACAAGCAGGATTTATATTAATTACTTAACTAATAACTGTGCAAAAGTTTACAGGAAATTCTAAGTCAATTACATGTGGTAATAGAACTGTAGAAGATACAGTCTAACTTTGTTACCTCAGGCTGTTGTGGATTAATCCGTATCACAATAAAATATTCTTTTTTTACATTTATGGCTTTGTAACCATGTTTTTCAAATGTAAACATACAAAACATAGTATGATTGCATAGCCTAATTTGCATAATTATTTGTATTTGTATTATCTACACTTTTGCTTAAGTTTGGCTATCGTCTACCCTAGAGAACAGAAAACTTATTAAAAACAACAAAGAAGGTTGATAAAGAGAATAAATTTCAGTTTTGCCATTAACTCACCCCTCGCATATCTGATATGTTCAGTTTCATTGTGTGAAACATGTTTAGAGTTTCTTTCCCAATTATTTTTGCACTGTCTGTTGCATGGTCTAAAGTCACAGTCCTACAAAGAATAAAAAAGTATCATTAAAAAGGAAATGGTTTCACAAATTCTAAAGACAACAACAATTCTGTAATTATTCCAGAGAGGATCTCAAAGACAGATAGATCATACTTTCTTGGCATACAGAAACTGAACATTGTTTTTCTGTTCTGTGGTCTCTTTTTAAAGGTAATTAGAACTAAGCATGTTCTACAGAAAAAACCCAGATTACTTGCTAATTGAGCATTCTCACTGTGAGGTCCACACATTAATTTGTCAAATACAGTGTATATTTATATACATGCTATCTATTGAAGCCAGACAAAAATGCTTCACTTTACAGTACTCATAGAAATGCACTATCCTTCACTCAAGCTTGGTTCATAACAAGTTTGCTCAGTATTATTTCAGTTGTCAATTGTCAAACATCTAAAGCGAGAGTTTTGGAAGGAACTCCGAGGGAGCAGCAGATAGGTATGTGCATGTGGATTACAAATAACAAAGAACTCTGATCAATGCTAAGTAATTTTAACTTTAAACAGCATTCCAAATCCACAACTTACACTGTAGACAATTTTCTGCAACAACTCTCTCTCAAAATTACCTGATTGTGAGTTATACAAATTGCCACCTGGGAGCTTAGCAGGGCAGTAGTAGTGCTTGGTAGTTCTAGATTCTCTAATGGCATGACATTTGAGACAGATAAGGACAGAATTTCAGGTGGCTAAATCAAACCTATGCATGTCTTCTCACTGAGGTAACCAATGCAGTTTTAAGTCTGACGGAGTGGGCTCTGTGGACAAAATGAAGTTCCACCTTGGAGTTTTGACAGGTTGCCATCCTGACAACTTACTAAACACCTTGATGCTGTCTCCTTAAATTTTCCTCTATTTCTGAATCTGAAACCAACATGAACAGCCAAGTGCTCTCTAGAAAGGTCTGGTTCTGTCAATATGAAAAGGAAAAACGTTCCTGCTGTGAATGATACGAACTCCCTGAGCCTGACAGGTTAACATTTTTAAGAAAAAGGAGATCAGTATCACCATTAAGATGCAACTATGCAAAATATTACTGAGAAATGCAGGATGGGTCTACAGGTACACATCATTTCAGAAAACTATTTTACAAAGGTCTATGCTGTACTATCAGAACAGGATATCAATGATGTAGTAAAAATACCATTAACACCTCAGAAGTTGAATTTGATTTTAAAGCATGTCTGTGAGTCTGAATCCTTTGTAGGACTATGTTTATCATTCTATGGAGTCTTGGCCTGTAGGATGAGAAAGCGTGGTAACTCATTCACCTGTGAGGTAAGTGGGCAAGAAATCTGTCATGAGCTGTAGCTACAGAGAAAATCTTAAATTGAAGTAAGAGAGAAATGGGTCACCTTTAGGTCCAGTAAATAATCCTACACTGTTGGAACTAGGCTGTACATAGGGAAAGTACACCTGAGGGAACACCACCCTGAGATTCTAATCCATTTGCCTGGATGCAACTTCCAGAGTTTACCCTGCTGCCGCTAAAAAGCCTTTCACTAAACTGAACAGAAATGATCTAATGAAGACAGTAATCCAGCACCTGCATCATCAAATGGCATAATTTGGATTGATTGGGGTTGCCAAGTTCATTAGTAAAACCAGAAGCAGAAACAGAGACAGTGCCAAACAAGATCCTGGCATCAGAACTGCTTCAGCTGTGTGTGAACAGCAGCATCCTTGGGTGCGGGCTCATCTTACCTTAATGAAGACTTTATGTTAGGGAAATTTCAGGGCACACATACATTAGCATGACCACAGAAACAAGGTCCAAAGCATTGACCTGGTCATGACAAAGCAGTCTGGCACTAGTTGCCAGTAAAGGAATAAAGCTCTATCTCAACACACCCTCAATACTAAAAACATGTTCTTAGGCTGTTAGAAGTAAATCTTCAGGTCTATCTTCAGGATAGCCAGAAGACTAAAATATAGACTGATGGATTTTCTTCTTGATATACCAATCCCAAAAAGTGATGAGCTTCTGATAGTGAAAGGTGAATTTTGTAGTTTCAGTTTTTAATACAGATGAACTGTATGTCACAAGTTCACAAGTTTGAGACAGGCCCTGTGTATGCATGTCCTTACTATTGAGCTTTAATGCACCGAAAGAACACTCCCACCTCTCCAGTTATCAGCAACCCTGCGCAAATGACCCTTCAGTTCAGGAGGAATTAATCTGTTACAACCACCTGAGATAGAGGGAAAAACAGAACACACCTATCTTCGAATACGCCAAATGCATCCTCACACAGAAGTCAGAATCATCCCTACCTACGTTAACAACTGCTTTTATACAGAAATGTCTGTCTGAAGAATAAACATGTATTTAGAAGGTTCTGAGACAATCTTGTATGAAACAACATATAACTACATGATGCTCTATGCCTAGACTTCACTCCTGTGTTTTCAGTATGCAAGCATATAAATAAATTTGAGACAAAAAGGTAAGTCAGTATCATCCCATTGAACAACAGGAAACAAAAAAGAATCAGAAATAAATAATGGGTAACAGTAACAGGACTGCTTGTGGAAGCTGTAGGTCCTACTCCTTTGACAGAGGCCTATCAGCTGACTACCCAGGCAGAGTAACTGGGTTATCCCATTTCACCTGGGACGGGCAGCCACCACAGGTAGCATCTCAACGAGATCAACAGTGCTGCAGTGAGACCAAGTAGAAAGAGACTTTATTATGTTGATAATGATGCACAAGAAAACAAAGGCATTTCTGATGAGGAACTCAAGATTATATGAAAAAAATTTAACTGCGAAGGTCAAGAGACAAGAACAAGTCACCTTTTTGAACATCTGAAACATCGGGCAGTCTCTGACCTTGAGATTTTGAGATTCAACTTTCTTAGCTCCACTTTGGATCTTCATTTTCTCTTCTATGACCAAAAAAGTTCTCCACAAACACACCGGTGAAACAACAGGAAAGACAGAATCAACACAAAGAAACTGGTCTGTACGAAGATGGACAACTGCAGTCCAAAGTGTCTGATGCCAGCTCCAATCTTCAGAATCCTAAGTGGTCTCTCAGCCTTCTGCACCAGTAATTCTGCAACTACTGCCCTAGTCCCCATGTGCTCTAGACTTGAAGGAGGATGGTACTGATCAGATATCCTTCTTGAAAAGTACAAAGGCAATTTGCTTTGAGAACTGAGTCCAACTGTCACAGTCAGCATGTCATCAACAACCTATCAAGGAACAGCTGAAAGCCCGTCAAGAAAAAGGAAAGTACACAACGCTACACAGTTCAGGGCAAGTAAACAGTGTGCGGCAGCAGAACATTTCCACTCAGCTGGTCACTGAAAAAAATGAAAACACTGCTGCACGCATGTCATAGTGCAGGATGTAAGTATGTCTGCTACAAGTACTGCAAAGGGAAAAACAGCTCCAATATTGAGCAAGCTGGAGAAACGTATAGCAACAATATATATGTACAGATGCATTGTTGTTTGAAGTCAAATCCTTTAAAAGATCAAATGCCTTTATTAGCTAGTATTTTATGAGACTATTATCAAATTAAGGGCAACCTTAAACTACAGATTATTGAACTCAAAAAGGAAGAAGAGAAAAAAATGTACATCCCTACCAAAAGACATGGATAGTCAAAATAATTCACTGAAAATAATTCACTAAATCACTTAAACATTTAAGTAGCATCCAGACACACAAGAGTACATTCTCGCAGGAAAGCAATTTCAAACCACAAAGAATGCACTTGTGGAGTCAGATTCCTTCTTTCCCATTCCTTCTTCCCTGAAAACACAAATTGTTTTTTTCTATGTCCCAAAATCTTTCAATTTCTGATATATTTTCTTTCTTCCCCCATTTTTCTCTTTGAAGAAATTCAAAGGCAAAAGATGACTGTTAAAGTTGTTTTCTCTATCCGATTTGGTCACCTTAGTCTTTTTGTTCTTTCTCGTCCCAATATGCCATGTTTTTTATCACTGGGGGATTTACATTCCATGCCAGTGACCAAAAGACCACATGTGTACAACCCAAACACAGAGGACTTTTGATAATAATATTCTACTTCTGATTTTGGTGCAGGTTTGACATGTAGACAAAGAGGTACTGAGCACTTTAAAATTTCTGTCGTGTCTTCCTGTAAGTTTTGGTGCTCAACATCCTGCAGAAGTGTGCTCAGGCCTACTACCAACCATTCTTTTATCCATGCTTAGTTACCTGGCGATATTGTCACAGATTCCATGACCTCCATATTTTGCAGGCTCCATTGGTGCCCCAGCTTTTCTGACCATAATTTTAAGGGTCAATCGTTTACCCTTCATACCAGCAGCTTCAAGTCTACGTTGGATTTCTTCTGAGAGGCTCAGAAGGAAAGCTTCTGCTTCCTTAGGCTGAAGGGGAAAAGCAACAACATGTTTAGGTAATTACTAGTTTTCAAATGTTGATGGTAAATCATTAAGGGTTAATGCAATCCAGATTTTGTAAACTGAAAAGAGCAAGCTGACTCACAGGCAATTGTCTTATTTAACTTCAAGTGTTTTGTTTACATTGTAGGTTGTTGAAGTTGGGCAAAGATGGTAGATACCTATCCTAATGCTGAAATAAGTAGGAAATACTACATCCTTTTGTAAACAAGTCTTAAAAAAAAAAAAGGTATTTAGAAACCCCAACACAGAATTGCAAGACTAACTTTAAGCACACATCTAGAAGATGAAGAGTGTAGGGCTTACAAAGAAAATCTTTTTCACTGTGAGGAGTGGAACAGGTTGCTCAGAGAAGTTGTGCAGTCTTTGTTCTTAAAGGTTTCCAACACCAGACTGGATAAAGACCCGAGCAACTGGTTTGATCTCATTTCTCCTGCTTTCAGCAAAAGGCTGGACTACGTCACATCATGAGGTCTCTCCCAACCTGATTTTTCTGTAATTTCGATACAGACTTAAGGTCTTAACAAACAGCTGAGTTATTTTTTTAATACAACTTTTTCAACAACACCCCACTCTACAATATTTGTTAAAAGTCTAATAAAAATATTGTACTGGAGCAGCTGGTGATGGTTTCGGGCACTGGCATCTTTGAGTAATCGGCATTTAAATGAAAGAGAATGCTAGGTGCTGACAAACCTACTGCAGTTCTCTTTTCCTGTACCAGACTTGTATAACGAATGCAGAAGAGTCAGCTAATTTTGTGCAAGCTTCTTTTCAGACCAATACTTTTGCAGTCTCTCCTCCCATTTTATCGTTTGGTCTCCTACTTCTTAATTTTCCTCATTTCTATTTGGTGGCTAAGATGGTGCTCTAACAGATCAAAGCGTAAGTGAAAATAATCAGAATATGACGAGATTCTTCTACAGCTGAAAGAATTCACTGCAGAAAAGAAAGTAAGTTTGAATTTACCTGTGTAAACCTTATTCCATAGTTGATTTCTGCTGAAACAGATTTTCTTTCTTTTTCTGTACGAACAGGTCGATCATCCAAACCGCGACAAAATCGGTACAGCATCTGTCCTGTTTTTGGACCAAATTCTTTTTGCAGTTTTGACATTGAAGCACACTGCAGATCTCCACAGGTTTTAATTCCCAATGAAGCCAGCTTAGATTCCATCGTCCTGCCAACTCCTAACAACAAAACAATTAGTTCTGTTAACTCCACACAATTCAGAGCCAGTCAGGTTTTGAACAAATAAAATTCGTCCTTTTTAACCTACACTAGGTCATACCAAATTAATAAATAAATATACACCATAAAAAATAAATTCCACTCAATAAAACATGGTTCAGATGGAAACTTTTGCTGTCTTCATCTGTATTTCTTTTATCTGTTTTATATATTTAGTTTAAGAAGTCATACTGCAGCATGTTTTTTTTATTTCTGGGTAAACATGTGAAAGGCTCCTGCTTGGAAATCTTCTTGACAAGGTACTGCCTATTACAGAGTATATTGCTCTGAACTCCACAACACTCAGTCCACAAAGCGTGCCCAACATGTAATATGTTTTGCCATCATATACAAGTGATTTAACCTAAAAGAAAGCCAACAAATATTTTGACCACTGTTCCATTGCTTCCTAGATGGAAAAATAATATTTCAAGTAGAAGTGATAGCATACCTGTATCACTCATTCTTTGAATTACCAAGCACTGGAAATTGTAGGTATCCATGGCAACAGCCCATATGTAAGTGTGATAAACTTACTTATTTCTGAGTTTTGGAAAAGTGGCCTGTTGCTTCCGAAAAATATTGGTCCTATGAGTTTACACTACCACAATCAGCAAAAGTTAGAAAACTCAGGTAATCAGCTTCTACCCGTCATAATATGCACCTGTCTATATATGCTATTTCTACCACTTTTCCACTTCAGTGTCTACTGCTGTCTATTTTGTTTCCCTTCTCTGTTTTTTTATTGAACAATGCACTATTTTGAACATTTAATACTAAATATGTGTGTATACAAGCAGGCTGAGCTCAGCTGATCACTTAACATACAAAGCATACATGAGTGCTTGCTCAGCACTTCTTGCACTATGCCTGTATCACATTATACTACTAAAGTATTGAATACCAATATAATACAGAGTTACATGCCAGGAAACAGTTTAGCTTACAACTCTTAAGTATTCTTCAGGAACAACAGAAAAATCTAATTAAGTCTGTTTTCATACAGGTATATTCCCTATGTCCTTACTGTCTATCACTCTCCCAGCACAGTAACTCTAGTTCCCTGCCATCTCTCTGTGAATTGCGCTATGCCTTGGAGAACCCCCCTAAAACCTGTGGGCCAGAAGTGCTTCTTTCCTCCTCTCCATCTTTCTCCTTGGTCTTCTCTATGTCCACAGGCATTTCATTCAATCCTACCAGTTTCTCCTTACCGAAATATTCTCTCTCCTACCTTATTAAGGAATGCAGCACAGAAAACATGTACTCCGGCCTATACATATGATGACTAGGAACTACTGCCAAAATGTACTGTAGCTGAATTTTGCCTGTCTGTCCCTCAAAGGACGTACTCATTTGGATCACTCTCCTCACTCAAGCTGTCATTTTTCACAAAACTTGTGGAAACATTATGTCATCAGAACTTCTATCTCTCAGTAAGACTTGGCTCAAACTGTGTCCTGGTTTCAGCTGTGATAGAGTTAATTTTCTTCCTAATAGCTGGTGCAGTGCCGTGTTTTGGATTTAGTATGAGAATAATGTTCATCACATCCATAGACAGTTCATAAAATTATTAGTACTGTCATAATTGCAAATTATAAGTCATAGTAGTTGTCACAATCATTTCCTCAGACAACTAGGCAAAAAATAGTTGGAATTTGACAAACCTGTTGTTGTTCTTTAAAAGAATCAATACATTCTGTCACAATTTGCAGCACGCCACTGACTAAAGATCCTTACACAAAAAAATTATTACCTGTGTAACAAATGCCTAATGTGTATCCTAAGTCTACCAGAACCAAAAACTGCCTATAGCTGGATGCAGAGCATGACAGTGGTAACACAGTTACCCTTCTTAACAGTAGCCTTACTTTCCGCCTTCCTCTCTAATTATCAGCCATTCTAATACAGCTCATCTTGCAAGCAGCAACAATTCTCTATTTCGGTAACATTCTCCTCTGCCGAATTTTATTTCTTAGTTTCCCCTCTGTCCTCATTCTCTTCGAAATCTCTCAGAGTTTCTCAGATGCAACAGAGATTAAACAAACTCCTCTCTCCTCTCTCTCCTTTTTCCCTTCATATACTCTGTTTTATCGTGGCATCTGTGCTATTTTTTCCCACTCCTGACTTCATACACTCCTTTTTAGAAAGGATACTCTCTTGGGCTACCTTCTCAGTTCTAAGCAAATCCTGCCTCTCTCAAAGCTAAGTACCAGATGTTACTTATTTTCTGACATTCATTATGATACAGCCAGCTAGCACTAACTTGAAATGACTCATCTAATTAATTTATTAAAGAATATAAGGTTGCATAACATACTATACTCTGAGCTTCTTCCAGAGATCATGCTGTGTGGATCTGTAACATTCTGTACAGAAAGGTGTTTCTCAAAAGTACAAAAAGGTCACTGAAATTTCAGAAAATATTCTGTAATTTCAAAAATTTTCAAGAATCACTATATTTTTTTTTTTTCGGATCATAACCATGGAATAGCATCTAATCTTGCTTGATCCAGAACACAGATTTGTAGCTGGAAGTGTTTTAATATTAGGAAGCAAAATGTCCTGTAAAAGAAAGGAGTACCTGGAAGACTGGTAACAAGTTGCCCTCTGATAAAATCATCCACTTCTTCAGGTTTTAAGTGATACTGTCCATCTGGTTTTGCTTTACGAGTTGCCATTCTGGCCAGCAGAATGTTGGAACCTGTAAAAACAACAAATTAAAGTATGTCTGTGGTAGCTTCTGTCTTCTCAAGTAAAATGCTGCAGTTCAACAGTTAAGGGAAAAATGCAGATAAAGTACATTCTTACAAAGAATTTAATGAAATATATTAACATGTATTTGCAGTATCTACTTCCAAATTAGCAACTACCAGTATTTGTGATTACAGCAGCGTAACTGTAGTGGTAACTGCAATTGCAAAGTTAAAACCAACCAAACATTCCTGATTTCCTCTACCTCCTCCCCTCAAGCAGTGCAGGAGGATGGGGAATGGGGGTTGTGGTCAATTCATTGCACATTGTCTCTGCCACTCCTTCCTCCTCAGGGCGAGGACTCCTCACACTCTTCTCCTGCTCCAGTGTGGGTCCCTCTCCCTCCCACGGGAGACAGCCCTCCACAAACTTCTCCAACGTGAGTCCTTCCCATGGGCTGCAGTTCTTCATGAACTGCCCCAGCCTGGGTCCCTTCCATGGGGTGCTGTCCTTCAGGAACAGATGGCTGCAGCATGGGTCCCCCACGGGATCACAAGTCCTGCCAGCAACCTTGCTCCAGCCCGGGCTCCTCTCTCTATGCGTCCACAGGTCCTGCCAGGAGCCTGCTCCAGCGTGGGTCACAGCCTCCTTCGGGCACCCACCTGCTCTGGTATGGGGTAGTCCACGGGCTGCAGGTGAATTTCAGCTCCACGGCCTGCAGGGGGACAGCTTGCCTCACCATGGTCTTCACCACAGGCTGCAGGGGAATCTCTGCTCCAGCACCTGGAGCACGTCCTCCCCCTCCTTCGTCACTGATCTTGGTGTCTGCAGAGTTGTTTCACATATTCTCATTCCTCTCTCCAGCTGCAATACCTACGTGCTGGTTTTTTTCCCCCCTTTCTTAACTCTGTTATCCCAGAGGTGCTACCACCATCCCTGATAGGCTTGGCCTTGGCCAGCGGCAGGGGCCTCTTTGGAACCGGCGGGGCCGGCTCCCTTTGGCAATCTTGGAGCTGGCTGGCACTGGCTCTATTGGACATAGGGGAAGCTTCTAGCAGCTTCTCACAGAAGCCACCCCTGCAGCCTCCCCTACTATCAAACCTTGCCATGAAACCCAATACAGTAAAATTAAGCTAATATTTGGGCCTGAATACTCACTAAAATATCCACTGACTTTATTATATTATTATTATTATATGCACTCATAAAATGTGGTGGGAACAAGACCTATTTCAGCATTTTTTCTTCCCTGTTTATAGGCTTATTCATGCCCAGCCAATCAGATCTCTGAAATGATACCCAAAAACCTTCATCGCTGCCACTCAAACACTGTGTCCTAAGGTAAAGCAAACTCATAAAAGGTCAGGGGAATTCACAATTCACAGAACTGTGTGTTACTATTACTCTTCTCCTACCAACTATGTTCACGCTCTTTTAGTCTATTCTAAAATTTTAGTGAATAAGAACAGTAACAGACTTTTGCGTGCACTGTTTCTCCTGAGAGGTTAAATTGATTAAACAATTAATGACAGATTCCTCGTTCAAGTTCCTATTTAACTTTGGGGATCCATGTTTTGTCCATAGAGTACTGAAGATTTCTGATCCTCTTATCTATCAAACATACCAACATAGCCTCTAATACCATGAAATCTCAGTGATTTACCTTCTGCCATGAATTATTCCCACAACACTGAAGTAGGGAAAAAACCTAATACCTCACTTAACAAATGAGAAACCAAGATACAGGATGTTTACAGATGAGTGTTTAATCTTTCACTAGCATTGTTTAAATCAGTTTAGTTTAGCCACTAAAATCTCTAGGGTAAAAATTAAATTTATTCAACCGGCATAAGCATGTCCTTCTAATTTATCTCTAAGCAGACAAGAGTGTTGAGAGGAGATCTCAATAGTATAGCAGTATCTATCCAAATTTACATTTTACTTTCCCATTGGGCAACATATAAATCACTTACACAAGATGAGTATTTCTGGCAGACCATGTTTTTGAAATAAGGTCTCTACATTCATGTAATAGTACAATTGTTTCATCTGAGTTATTTACTTAACAATGAATTATGAGTGAAGAGGCAAAGTCCTTGTCGTGCACCTATCGTATGAATTTCTAGAAAGGATACCAAAATCGTTTTCCAGTATCTCACACAAATAGATTATTAGAAAAAAAAAATTGCTCTTAGGTATCGGTCTCTTTCAATCAGTAAGAGAACTATATCAGATTAGAAAATAATGCTTTAAAAACTAATTCTGCTCTTTCTATAGAAAAAACAAACATACTAAATAAGCATATAAAAGAGATTACAACTATGTTTCAAGTTAAAACAAGACACAAACAGGAATCCAGGGAATTACAGTCTCTGTACTATGATATCAAAAAATAAGGGAAGAATTCTGCTTACAGTAATGAACTTCAGCTTGTCTCACAAGTGGATTTCATACACATACACACTCAGTAATTTATTTACAGATACTCAACTCTAGTATTAATTAGGGACAAAAAAAAATGAGAAAGGAAGGGGCCAAGTGAAAAGAAATCAAGGAAGTCTTTTCAGATGTGTGATTCCATATACAATACCTACTACAAATCAAACAATCTTTGCTTTCAATACCTTCTAATAATTATGCTAAATTATGCCACCTCATAAAAACTCTTACTGCTATCTCCGATAAGGAACAGAACCCGCGCACATTTTTCAATTTACTGGAAAAATACCATAGCATCTCATAAAAATGAATGTAAGAATATAATACAGATGGAATTTTAACATACTGTTCAGATAACACAGGAGAAGTGATAGAAATTTTATAAATTTTTGCCTAAAACTCTCCACTTAGGAAGATTTTCTTGCAGTTATATTTACACTAATTTAATGTAAATGGCAATACATTCCATACCACATAAACACTTGAGAGTTTTAGCAACCCTACATAGCTTTGATACACCTAATAATAGCAGGCACTGCGTGCAAACAGAAATGAAATAAGGTACTTACTCATCCCAACGGAAGCAGTGCATTTAGTTTGGGCTTTGATTTCAGTGCGGATAGCATTTGCAAGTTCATCAGGAGTCAATCTGGTCTCTGTAAGGATTTCAGTGATATCTACTAGTGCTTCATCACAACTGACTGCTTCGATGTTATGAGTATAGCTATCAACACAAAGTAAAGGAGGTAAAAGACCAGCAACAGCTCACCATCTGTTAAAACAAATATGTAGCAAATAAAGTCTTCCTTTTGTGGTGGCATTTCCCTGCTTATTTTGTATCACACATCACTTACATATTAAAAATGCTCAAACAGCAAATTATAGTAACTTTACTAATGTAGGACTAATTTCAACATGCATCATGATTTTAACGGAACAGCTGGAGAAGGAGTTGAATACTTATTTTTCATTGACAATAACAAATTACAAACAGTTTTGTTCAAGTGCGTTTTAAACCGGAAAGTAGTTTCTAATAGATATTACTCCAATAACCCATTCTTAAGTTACTGAAAAAAAAAACAACTCTTGGAAGAATCGCATACTAAGCAGGCATCTGTTTCTCAGTGTAATCAATAAAAAAATTTAACAATGACTCCTCTGGAAGTCAGATGTTGACTGTTTACAGGATTTGGCTTCAGGATATGCTCAGAAGCAGCATGGTGCTCAAAATAACAGAAATACTACAAAAGGAAGATGCCAAATAGGAATGGCTTTATTGAAGCTGAAGAGTAACGTAGAGATGAAAATACTATATTGAATAATGCCATTCAGCAGTGGCAAATAAAATATGCTTGATAACCTTACCATGAAAGTTCATGTAAACAAACAGCACACGTTACCTTGCTAGTATTTCATATACTGTCCGTGCAACTTCTTTGTATGCGTCAAAATCATAGGAAACTGCTTGAAGATTTGGACACAACTTTTTTGCTTGGCCAAAAAACATTCCATTCTTTATGCCAACTTGTCTAAAATTAAATAATTAAAAAAACCCCAAATAAACACAGTACCAACTTTTCCACAAATTAATATGGGGTAGTATTTCTAAATGAAGTATTTGTCTTTTCCCACAAAACTGGATTATCAATAAAAAGGTATTTAGTCCAACCGCTACCAATTTAATAGGTAAGAAAAATAACTGCAAATTGCATATTTGAATCAGCTGTATAATATTCAGGCATGCAGCATGGACAGTCTGCCTTTGGGAACATGCTTAAGACAAACAAAAAGTCTCCAGAAAGCCCTACTTGCTATCTTCTGTTTCAAATTAAAACCGTGCATATACTACAGTGACTAAGGTAACTGGACCTTATATTCCACCGTGCAAGCTTACAAAATTATGCTCCCATAATAAAGAAACTCTAACTTTTGGAGATACAAATATAAGCCTGCCTATCCTAGCACACTTGAGAAAGGTTCCAATGAAGGAATAATTTCTGGAGTATTATTTCCATCAGAGAAGAAAATCGTATTTCCAACACTTTGCTTACATTTATAACGAGTAGTTTCATACTCTGAACATTTATATGCGAACTTATTGGGGATACTCAACATAATCTGTGCAAGAAATGGTTTTAAGTTTAGTAATCAGACTTACTGTCCGATTTTAACTAAAACCTTCAGTAACAAAGTGTTCTTAATTCCATAAAAGAATGCAATTTTGATACAAAGTAGTTAAGATAGCATTATGAAATCAACAATCATAGAATCACAGAATGTTTGGGTTGGAAGGGACCTTTAAAGGTTATCTAGTCCAACCCCCCTGCAGTGAGCAGGGAATATCACAGTGAATAGCATAAGGTATTCCTTAACAGGCTTTGTTTCAAGTAACGTGTAGGTTAGGTTGAGAGCTATTAAGCAGTGTTTAAAAAGCTGCAGCATCCGTAGAGAACAACTTATGTCAAATTCTAACAACCTATATAACTACAATTTTTGAAAACATCAAAAAATTTCCTCTTTAGATAGAGTTAAAGAAACTGACTTCACAACTACTATTTTGGGACATTTTACGCCTATCTGTATGAGACTTTCAAGCAACCTGATAGGTAACTTTTACCTACCTGGCTTCATAACTACAGGAAGCTATTTCAGCCATGGACAGAACAGTGAGATCGAAGTCAGCTCCATTCATATGTGTGGAATTCAGATGCTCCCAGACTGATGAGTCCAGCTTATCAGGTACTCTAATTTCTGCTTGGAAAATAATATTTGGTTTTATGCTATTTTTCTTAAGAGTTCAACAGAACTAATGTGATTAAAATAACAATTATGGATTTTATTTTATACAATTTCTATACTGCTACCTGTTGATGAAGAGTTCCTAATACTATATTGATTCATATCATGGTCCAGAAAAAAACCCAGACCCCCGCTCCAGTAATCTCTGTCTGCAGATAGGTCTGTACATATTACTGAGAAGAATATTAAGCTACAGAAGAATTCTGTTTCTATTTTCCCCAAAATTACTAGACAGCAACTTGTTGGTGACTACATACACCATACTGTAAAATAAGACTGATATTAGCTTTAACGACAATAAAAATGCTCGAACACTTGCGGATAACTGCTACAACCATATCCTGTAAATAAATACAAGACACTCAAAAATCTACCCACTGTTTGCCCAAACAAGACTGATACTTAGCTACATTCCTTTTTACAAAAAGCACAACTACCACCAGAACACAGAAATTAAATTCAGAATACAAACCCACTTTTTATCATACTTACACCCTCTTACTTAAAACTATTTTTATAATAATCTAGATACCACGAAATGATTTTCAAGAAGTAGCCAGAATGTTAATTAGATCAAATTAAAAAACACTAGTTAGAAACTTGTAATTCCTTCAATGCTCTTATGGGGACATTAACTGACAAGCTTCTGCTGTTACTTCCTAATAATTCTCTTATTAGAATATGTCAACTGCTTTCAAATATCACCATAAATTTATCTTGGATCAAAATGATACAATTATAACTACTGCACCCCCAGAGTTAAAACGAGACAGACCTTCCCTAATTCTGTAGAACTTTACTGCATACTCTTAGATAAATTTTAAAGAGTCCTCCAGGCCCACTGCGTACTAGGTACTAGAACAGAATTCCATGACACTGAATACTGGAATCAAGTAAAGCATTTTCTATTCCTTTCTGTTTGGGTTTTCACAGTATGTAAACCTTGAAAGATACATGCCTATACTTTAAATACAGATCAGCCTAAAAAAATGGCAAGATGCAAAAACTATTATGCCCTTCCAAACTCCCCATCAGAATCAAAATAACAAGGTATCACACAGACAAAAAGCTTCTATGTACTTAAAATGAAATCCAATATGTATGTTATAGTTCTTTTTCATTACTGTAGTCTAATACCATGCACCTTTGTAATATAATAAACAGGGAGTTTTCTTCAGAGTGCCACAATGCCTAATTATATTTCATGGTACTAGCAACTTACACACTGACAATTTGACTGAAAGAAAACATGGTGCTATGTGCACATATGAGTAGTTATTGGACTAGAGAAAGTGGTGTAATGAGTGAGTGGAGACAGCAGGGGTAGAGCCTGACTCATATGAAAAACTGCTTTTATTCAGAATATCTGCTAAATTTGTGCACCTTTGTACGTCTTAAATATTTTAATGTATGATGAACTCAGTAAGTTACCTAAGATGTCTGCAACTGAAAATTAGAGCAAAATTATGCCCCAAATAAAGATAAGAATGACAAGAACAATTTCTTCAGTCCATGCCTTCCTGTGCCCTGGCCTGAGATGATGCTGTCATCTTGTCTATCTTCATTGGACTCGTCGACTTTTTCCACATCGCAGCAGAGCAGATCCCCCCATGAGCTGATGGAGTCACTTCATGTGAAATTCAGGGCAATGCAGAACACATTGTCCTCAATGGAAGGCAAGGTAGAGAACCTCTCATCAAAAGCTGGGAAACTAGACAGGCACATGGTGAATGTGGAGCAACGGATGGAGAAATCAGAGGCCAGGACCCAAGTCTGTGAAAAAGAAATCGCTGAGAATAAATCTGTGACTAATATGATGGTTAAAATCTGCTGCTCTTTAGAATGAAAAAAGGGAGATACTAGGGTTGAGGGAAAGGAAGCCTAGAAAACATTCACATCTTGGGCATCCTGGCCATGGAAAAGAGACCCCAAACTATGAATCCTGATTAGCGTATGCTGATCTTCTATCTTTAGGACATGAATGTTAAAGATGGCACGCATGTAGAGAAGTAACTTCTAATACCCAGAAAGGCTATCTCCAATTTGGAGATTTAGGGTGAGAATGATAGCAAGTTTTTAAATTTAAAAGTTATACAATTTTGGATGAATTCAAACAAGAAAAAGAAAGTATTTCATGAAAGATTCAAGATTCTATTGACACTAGATATTTGTCTAGCAATGCAGATCAAAGGCAGGAACCAGTATCAGTAAAGAAGTAATTTGCAAAAAAAGAAGCAGCTGAAGCAGCAGAATTCAGTATTTAGTCAAAAGTGATTCATAAAGGTTTGGTTTCGTTTGCTTATTTTTTGGGTTGGGAGTTTTTTTTGTGTGTGTGTGCTTTTTTTAAAATTTGGAACATTTTTTCTAATAAGCAAGACCTAGAGAAGGCAAAATTAGAGAACAGCCTGGAAGCATGAAGCATCAAAAAATGAAGCGTGTTCCATGTTGAAGCATGGATGTAAAAAATATGCTCATGTTCAAAGTTGGTCACAACTACCTTTTTATTTCATTTATATAACATGTACCCAAACAGAATTTTGTATGTTTAAGAGCATAATTTAGCATTCTGTATTTTTTGTATTCTAGAAAAAGTAGTTTTCCATGTGATACATGTGCCTACTGGACTAGATTTACCTCTGGCATGGCCCAATTAAACACATGCTGTGAAGTGTCGCATACATTTTCTAAGATACTGTGACATTAGAAAAGCCTAACCTGCAATTCTACCTTTTAATCTAAGACCATAACTAACTGTAACTTCTTTCCCCCAAAAGGAAGACAAGCCATGTACTTATAAGAATGCAAGCAGAACCAACAGGTGGTATTTTTTGTTGTTAAAAACACTGCACATGGAGATAAAAATTAATAAAGACACTAAAAAAATATAAACTGCAGCTAATGAGATAAAGACTATAAAAAGACTGTTAGGAAAAAATCCTTTCACCAAAACAACAGGTTGCACACTCAGACTAAGTATCAAGAAAGAAAGAGCTAGCTGCCTGCCTGTGTGCAAGCCATTGGATGCTGATGTTAAAGAAATGAATGTGTAGATACCCAGAAAAAGCTGCTGCAGTAAGAAACTGAGTTTGTTATACAATGAGGCTGAAATCTGCTGTACCCTTAAGCAATAAATATAGCAGAAGAGATACTACTGAATTTGTGAATCACAAAGAACATGCTAGATATCAACTAAACTTCCGTAATTAACTGCCTCACTCTCCAAACATCACTTGGCTGTATGAAGTCACACCCTTATCCACTCTAAGGTCCTAATAAAAGTTATGAAATCACTGTATAAAACTGAACTACCAATAAATACTTCACACACAAGCTATACTACAGAAAATCCAACTCCATGAAAACCACAGCTTTATAACACACTTATATATGGCCTTGCAAACAACACAGCAGAAGCTAAGCCTGGAGCATCTTCAAAAGTCCGTAAAAAGTTAAAGGCCAGTGGCTTCCACAAACATATATTCTACCTCAGTTTTCAAGTGTTTTTAAACTACAGCAAAAAGACAAATAAAATGGCATCACCTCCTGTAACACCTTGTTTACAAATGTCTTTGAAAATTGGCAGAATTATTAGATTATTTTTTTTAAAGTACTAACATTTCAGAAACAACCATGGAAGAACCACCTGGTTTTTTCCATCTCTTGTATCAACAAAATAACTTACTGAGGTGTAAACTTTGTAACAATAGTACTTGCTACCACAAGATTGGTTAAAAGTGCATATACAAGGGGCAGCTGCTATTTAATTTCAGTTTAGATTGGGAAGTTGAGTTTCTGCTTTGCCCCTTGTATATGCACTTTTTACTAACCTTGTAGTAAAAACTAAGTTTAGCAGTATACTTTCTCATACTAAATGTAGTTCAAGCAGTATAGTAATAAAAATCGTTAATAAAACTATGTTTTGTTTACATTAGTATACTACTACTTGAGGACACAAAGGAACAAATTCCTAGGTTACTGCAGGTAAGTAAGGAATTCTCAAACTACAACAGATGCCCTGGTTTTGAGGAAACAAAGTACTGGAGAGACTAAACTCATGGAAGTTGCACAGACTTTGCAGAAACCTAAAATGCTCTCAGGACCACAGAAATTAACATATTGTACACATGCAATTCAAAAACCAACTTGAAACAATTTCTCACTGGCCACGTGCTATCATTTCTACTTTTGTAGTAAAAAAAATTTTAGTAGCCTTTTAAAATTTATTTTGGAACTTATTCTCTATAATAGACTTACTCAGAAAAAATTGATCCTGGACAACCTGTATTTATTTCTTATTTTAAATAATTACTTAACATTCTATCTTATACTCAACCTCAATGAAAGTGAGTAAAACCTAGAACTACTCTAAAATAATTCACCCATACTGAGCAAAGCTAACTAACAAGAAGTCACAGTGGCATGTTATTACTGAAAGCCAGAGAGCACTGTGTTGTCCGAAGATTATTTCTTTTCTGAAATCCCCCACATAAGAAAAAACAAATTTATCCACTGTGCACTTATTAATAACTTTAAGGAAAAAGTCTTCAATAGCAGAAGTTAGAAACATACAGACAAACAGACTTATCTGTACCTGCTTTGCCATTCAATAGCTTATTCTGGTAATATTGCTGTTCAAGCTGGGGGTTTGCACCAGGGCGCAGTGGTGCCTTTCCTGCACCTCTGTTACTAGTAACAGCTACTGGTTTCCCTGTGGAGAAGAAATGCATGTACTTGTAAATCAACATCTGTAATAGCCTACTTTTTAATAATAGCACAACTAGGGCAAGATCAGAAAGATGTCTGCTTTATTTTTTTATAATTTATTTCAAACTTATACACTCTTACAGCATTAAGGAGGAAACAGCTATGAAAGTGACTGCACTGTGACTATGAACATGCTGTCTTAACTGCAGCCACATGTAAAGAAGAAAAGCTTTTAAAGAGTGAAAATACAGCCATACTAGTTTGAATGGAAGCTGTGAAACTTCACCAACACCCTAATGATTCATTAGTTTAAGACACAGCAAACACTGTACTGATTTGAAATATACTCACTTCCACTTGTTTAATTAACTGTACAAAATCAAATCTTCAGTAAACTTTTGACTCATTAGTAATATCAACACCTCCATGATTTTTCTATAGGAAGCTAATTTATGTACTGAAAGTTCTGGCAGATTTCCGTGGAACAGAAAAAATATTTGCAGAAAAGTCCTAGGTTCTTTATATTCCAGCAATGCAGTTTGAAACTTGGCAGGAAATAAAGTTTTAAAACCCCAAACATACCAGGAGTATCTTTGATACAGTTGCTCCTGCCTTTGGACAGAAAGACAGCAAAGGAATATATACAGCTTACTCTTTCCTAAGGTCTACAATAGCTGGGTGTCAGATGGCCATCACTGCACCAAGTCTTCAGACTCATGCATCACTGAAGTTCTGTGTTTGCACAGAATAACAAGTATCCCCATTTCTGAATGGTACACTTGTTAAAAATCCACCCAAACTTGCTAAGGAACTCCATTAACTCTTCCTATGCCCTAAGGATGATCATACAACTCACACTTCTAAATGCCAACTGAATCGTTCATCCTCCAGCCCTTATAATACTTCATGTGTAAGAGCTTATATAGAGAAGGGAAGAAGAAACAAATTTCCCTTAAAAAAGATTAATCAGGCAGAGACAATTCTCAGCCTTGACCTTTCCACTTAAAGGAAAACAAAGGTTAAACAAAGCTCCTTACAGCAGGAAAATTACTAGGATATCACTTTTTTTTTTTTTTTTTAACAGAGTGTGACCAAAACCCACTTTTGGTACAACTAGAATTTGATCTCCGATTTCTAACATGGTAGGTTTAAGTCTCAATAAGATATGTGCAATGTTATAGGGAATGGTTACTCCAGATTTTACTTCCCTCTTCTTAACTTTAGATACTAAAAGAAGACAGCAAGGAGAATTCCAGTACTCTCTTCCACTTGCTTTCAGATTGTGAGAAAGCAAGCAAGAACATAAAAACTGCATGGTATGACTGTCAAAGATGCCAGAAAAAAAAGACTAACATCCAAAGTTCATTTTCTAAGTGTGCAAGTTTGGTTTTGTTTTTAAAGGCTTAACTGAGTAAATTGTACATGCAAAATTAAATACTGACCTTTGAGATCCGGTCTATTTCGGATAGCCACAGACACAAAGAAGCAATCCATATCCACGTGCATTATACAATTCTGTGGCTTGGTTGAGCTCGCAACAGACACATTACCTAGCATGAAGATACACCAACAGAAAACTTGAACCCTAATTTATACACTTTGGTACTACTCACAGTAGTCATCAAGGACTATTATCAAGTTTTACCACCTTAAATGATAAAGATTTTTTGCTTCTTCTCACCGAGAAAGATAGGCACAGATATTTACAAAATTCTCAGCAAAATGTAAACATAAACATTAGAAAAACATCCTAAACGATCATCTTAAAAGTTTCTATTTTATTTTCTCATAAATAATACCTTCTTCCTAACAAGTTCCCCCAACCCAAGGAGATTAATGCATGTTGAGGGAACTAGATCTTAATTTCACTATGTTAACACTGAATCTGGAACGGAGAACTTTACTCCTTTTTGTTCATCAATCAGAAGACTGTTTGTTCCAAAAGATAAAAAAAAAAATATTTAGCTGCACTAAGAGCTACCATTAATTCTTCATGAAAGAGAACAAAATTAGCTTTAAACATCCCATGCAATTGGATTTTGTCATGGCTCTACCTACACTCATGCAAAGATTCAAAGATGAGCAAGATAACTCCAGAGTGAAAAACCTACACACCTAAAGCACTAGAAATACTTGTGTCAAGTATTCTAGAAGTTCAAGCCTGCATGCCTATGTTGCTGACCTAACAGAGGCGGCTGTATCTAACAACAACAACAACCTTAATTTGAACAATGCGTAAAGTGTAACAGAGAAAAAATATTTCAATACATCAAATGAATTGTTCTGCTTAACATCTGAGTTAATTACAGAATAATCAGAAAAGTGTTTTCCTCTTTTTAATAATTTACCATTTGACCTTATTCTTTGAAAAATAAGGAGTCACATAAGGGGCATATTTACAAATCATGAAATCAAGTTAATGCTTAAAGCTGCTACTTGTAAATTAAAACACAGTCCTTAACTATTTGAATACTATAGGCCAAATCAAAGAGAAAATAAAAATATATTAGCTTATACCATATTTTGATGGAAAAAATACACATTAAGGTAGTTCATAAGCTAACACATTTTATAACTCAGGTGTCCTAGCACAAACACAGAATCAGTTAATTTAGTTATCTAACAGTAATTTTTTAGGATGTGGTAATGTATCATCAAGCATATTTTCTTATGATTACAAGTGAGTATTTTTACAGCGCAAGAGTCAGAATCTCTTTGATGGTACAGAGCTACACTTTTAATTTAATAAGACTGTAAATGAGAGATCCTAAAGATGCAAAATACTTTATCTATGCTTGTAACACTTTGCTTCTCATGAATTACATGTATTTGTTCATTTTTGGCCCTTGATGTAATGACCTAAAACATTCCTGTTCTGTAACAAGCCAGGTTCAGAAGTCTCATATAACACTGCTACCCATTTAAACAGACCCAGAAGTATATAAAACTCTTACTAACAAAAAAAAAAATTAGATTTTAGTTAACTTCCAAATGTTACTCATCTTTAAATTTTCACACTGAACTATAAGCAAGGTTTTTTGTCTGTTTTTTCCCTTTAGATTTTCACACAGCAACTACAGATTTGTGTATTTAGATATATATAGTATTTTTTCCCCTTAATCAATCCACATATCTTGGTAAAGTCAGGAATATTATTTCTACAAGATGGAATTGAATATAGATCAGAGTATCACATTAAGTCACATTTTAAGTTAAAAAAAAACAAACAAAACCAAAAGCAGTTGGATCCTTTAGTTTTCAGTGCATCAAAGTCACTGAGCTTTTCCAGATAGCCTGACTGTAACGTGAATATTGAATACTAACCTACTTAAGTCTCAGTTAGACATTTAATGTACAAAGATATAAGGCATCTTCTCAACATAAACCTTCTTAAACAAGTATCTACCTGGGTCAGTTTTAAGTGCAGACCTGCCTGCTTTCCATTTTTTTAATTTTTCCCTTCCTGGAAAGACACCGCTGTTTTTTCTCTGCAGGCTGTTGACAAACTCTGTCAATTCACACTTCCAAGTTGATATATGATGCAGTCTTGAACGCGAATAAAAGTCAGAAATAAAACTACAATCTGAAGTTTTGGACACAGGTAAGGAAGCTGCCTTGCTAGGAGTAGGTACAGAAGTGCTTTTTGTGCTTGAAGGCCCCTGAACAGTGGAGTGATGAGCACCATTTATTTTAGCATTACTGTGCAAAGATGAAGAGGATGAATTACTCATAGTCCTATGTGGATTCCACGAAAAGTCTGTATTTTTGTTGCTTTGCTGCAACTGCTGCATTGTGCAGTCTCTAAAGTCAACCATGCCTTTTTCAGTCTTCCCCTCCTCCTGCACAGGGCCTGGAGAGAACCTACTTGCAACACCGTTGCCGGAGGGCACCAAGCAATCCTGTGTCTTTAAGGCACTGGTAGAAGTGTGTGTGTGTCCGTTAAAAATGGCAGTACTGTCTTTGTGAGACGGAATCCCATTTTGTTTCCGTCCAGGAAGGATCTGCTCCAGCTCTGTAAATCCAAAATAGTCACTTTCTTCTTCTTCTTCTTCTTCATTCCAGCCACTTATTCCATTAGGTGTGATCTCATTTTCCATCTCACACTTTTTAATATGATTTCTGAAACAGATATGATTATTTATTACCATATCTTTTATAAAAAAGGCTCATTTACAGGTCATTTCAAGCGCTAAGTATTTTTCTTCCTAATTGTTACCAGTATATACTTGACTAGTTTTTGCATTCTCAAGACAATTACCTCAAACTCTGAGGCATGTCCCCTCAACGTCACAAAATACTGTATAGTTGTACAAAAGGTTTCACAGATGTGGTGTATTATTAATGCAGCACTACCAGTTTACACAGGAGTGACCAAAATTGTGCTGACATTAGAAAAGCTATTTCCAAGGCCGTTAATTTGACCAGCAGTCTCCAATCAAATTATAACAATTATTTATTTGTTAACAGAACTGTACTACCATAGACACCATGAATGGTGCAAGAATATGTAAACCATCAGAACCAGTTATCTTTTTATCAAGAGATGTGATTTTCCTTACTTAGTTACAAACAAAGAAAGAAAAAAGAGAAAAAGAATGTATAAATAGAAAACTTCTGTTTTCTAGAATATTATTTTAATGTGTTAGATTCATTGTATCTTCTCTCAAGGAAAAATCTGTTCAAGCTTTACAAATCAAACATATTCTTAGCTTTTGACAAAAAACCCAAACAAACTACTTTTCATCTTTTAAGCATATAAAACAAAGTATTCCATCACAGGTGCACTGGCAATTTACATTTACCCTGACAGTATAGAGGCAAAGCTTTCATTTAAAAAAATTAACTCTGTACCAAACCCTAAGTGGAATTAAAACCAAAGCCTTCAAGAGCTGTGCATACTCTTGATCTGCTGAAAAAACAACCAACCATCACTCCCAACTCCCAAACCTAGCAATTTAAGTATACACACAAAAAAAAGGTGGGAAATAATTAGCTATCCAGTATACCAGTGAAACCAGAAAGCCAATTAACTGTGACAACAATTTGGTTAAGATTATGACAATCATAAATTGTATTAAACATAATATTTTTGAGGAGTTGCATGGTTGGAAGTGGTATATCCAGTGGTACATATATAGTATCAGTGGATAAGGCAAGCTTTTAAACTCATGCGTTGCAGACTAAATTGATATTTTCTGAAGTCTGAATATTCTTCTCAATTAAAAAACATTAACAATGCAATAGTAAGAGGAGATGGTGATTGTATCACTCATTGTTTAAAATACAGGAAAGAAATACCGCTTAGGATATTCATTTTGTGGCACTGCTTTTATTTTTCCTAAATACAGACTCTCCTGGTAAAGTCTCCTCAGCATTATGCAGAACTGGATTTTAAATAGATCAGCAGACTGTGGAAGAACACAGATCACCATTACAAATCAGAAAGTTTAGTATCTTGTACAGTATCCTTGGCCCTGTTTGAGCAGTAGCATTGGACCAGATGACCTCGAGCAGTCTCTTCCAACCTCAGCCATTCTGTAAATTTATGATGCTTGTCTCTAAACAACAAACATGTGCTTCCGGAAAAGATGCAGGAATCCTCTTAAAAAAATCTACAGAATAGTCTGTTTATTTGGAAGGTTTCTTTCCAATTCCTCTGCCAGTTAAAGGTTTTGCTGGTGCTTTCTGTTGTATTCTGTTCTTAAGGTCTTTTAGGAGAATTTTTTATATTGTAATTGCATTTTTTAATCTATCTTCTCTCTCAAGCGTGACTTAAACCTTGGTATTAGCATACATAAGGTACACTATGACTTATTTTTTAAAAAGAAGCTAAAGAAAGAAATTAACAACTAGTATGTATTTACATTTGTTCTTGGGCACCTTTAGCAAAAGTAATCGAGTTATAGCAGCTTTTTGTTTTTGAAATAAAGGCATACTCTTCAGTGTCACTTGTCAGAATCCTTTAAGGTATGCCTGTTGCTTCCATAAAAGTATGCTACATCCTAGGACTCCTAGGTCGTGTTACCAAGCGAAGAGTGGTCCAAAGACTAGAGACAAGGCTTGGAGTCAAGGTAACTGTAGTTCTTCCTCAACTATTTATATAGCTATACCTTATTTTTAAATTTCAGTGCCTCAGAGCTTCCCTCTTACAAAGCTGAAATGAATTTTTAAAATGCTAGATAGTTATAAACGCAAACCCATTATGGGTGAATGATTAGCATCTGCATTACAAGATCAGAAACACTTACACCCTGTTGAGATCTTTAGCTATATTGCTTGGACCTGGCATGGCATCTTCAGGTTTGCATATGCTATTAAAGTTGAGACCTTTTTGAACGCTTGACTGCTTGGTGTAAAGCTGATATGGAATGTGCGAGAGAAGACGTCCAGCTTTAATGCTGAAACAAACAAAAAAAGGAACAGGTTACTACTTAAAGACATTTAAAAAAAAAAACCCCAATCTTCTATGCTAAAAAGCACCTCATGTACAATAAACTAATACTTTGGTCATTACCTTTTGCTATTCTCCTATATGTACTTGCAGCCCCTTCCACAACCCCTTTCCCACTACTAGCTAGATTGAACTGAAAAGTAATTTGTGATGTGGTTGGTGACTGGTACTACAAAAGATATTTGCACAGTTGTGTTGGTCAGCTGTCTACATCCATTTCCCTTCTCCAAGTAGGAGACACACACAAAACCCAAATATTTAATTTCAAAAACAAAATAAACAATGCCCAGTCAAAAAAACCCAACTGGTAAGTGATCCAGGTTATTCTAACTGAACAATGCTGACTGAGCTCTTTAACGTGGAACAATGCAAATGCATGTGTTCCACGCAAATTTGGATAGAATCTGAAGGAGGTCAGCTAAGATGTAGCTCCATAAAGAGGAACTACTTTTTCCATTCCAAAAGGATAATTACCCCTTTTTGTGAGAAAATTCACTGAAGAAAGCTAGACAGAAGAATAATTTCCAAATAGACCTTCCATAAATATCTACCACAATCATTCCAGTTCTGTCCTATGTGTTCCACTGTATTTCCCTCTTTTTCTTCTTCCACTGAAACTGCAATTATACTTCAGTAACTGCTAAATGCCTTAGGGATGTCACGGGTTTTGAAGTGGAATCCTCCAAAAAATACACCACAGCATGATTTCATTTCTCCACCCCAACGCCTGTTGCTGGTAGTACAGATAACAGCCTTCTCAGCCTACACTTCATCTCTTCTTCACATACAACTCCTCATATTGAACAGTGGGTCAGAGGTGCTGAAACTTCTTACAGCAGAGGAACTTCTCTTATATGAAAGAAGCTTAGTATTAGAGTGCATTTTGAAGACACAATTGGATTCAAATTTTACAAGAGAATTTAGCTCAGCAACAGATACTGTTTTTCTTTTCTTCAACACCTGAATGCTTTCTCTTGGAGATGTGCTTTTTAACTAGCTCAAAATCTGTACGACTGTCAAGGGAGTTCGACAGTGGAACAGAAGCCCTTAGGAGTTTTCTTGCTGCAATTAGGGACGAATATAGTGGGAGATCACATTTCCCAATTAGATAAATTAAAACTAGCTAGGCATGTACATAGAGACCCAGTAAGGTTTCTATGGGAATGGGATAGTAAAAACAGCCCTAAAAGTGTATCAATTAAATACTGTTTCATACATGAATATATAGCATTCATAAAGGAACATCTTTTACATTAAACATTGCCAGAGTTTAAAAAAAACATGGTAGAGTACAAAGCTTTTTTGTACAGAAAGTGGTGATGCACCAACTAAGCTTTTACAATGCCTTGTTAGACTGTTTCTCATATCACTGCCTGAACCTGGGTGTGTAACTGGTGTGTAACTACCCAGGTAATATTTCAAAATCATTACTGCAATTTCAAGATGATAAAAAGCCACATTTATTTAAGAACTTGTTCATGCTAAGATTTTAGCTACTGGAGTAGCTGCATTACTAGATCAACATGCAGTTGGTTTGTTTTTTTCCAAACTGTATTAAGATGAAGCAAGAGGAATCCTATTTTGAGATGCACCATTCAACATCTTTCCCCATTCCATACTCCCTGGATCACAGAATTCATAATCACTAAAAAAATTAGGTTGGAAAGGACCTCTGGAGGTCTCCAGTCCAAACACCACTCAAAGTAGGGTTATATTTAAAGTAGATCAGGTTGCCCAAGGCTGTGTCCACCCAAACTTTTAGTATTTCCACAGGCAGAGATTCTACAACCTCCCTAGGCACCTGCTCCACTACTTATTCTCTTTCATTGTGAAAAATATGTTCCTTATTTTTCTGTGCTGCAACTCGCATCTATTGCCTCTTATCCTCTTGCTGTGCACCTTGAAGAAGAATCTGGCTCCATGCTCTTTGTAACCGCCACGTAGGTAATGAAGGAAAACAGTTAGATCCCCTCCTAGTCTTCTCTCCAAGAAGAACAAAATCAGCTTCCGAAGCCTCTCATCATGTATCACGTTCCAGGCTCCTACTTGCGTTGGTGGTTCTCCTCTGAACTCACTCCAGTTTGTCAGTATCTTTCTTGTACTGAGAAGCCCAAAATCAGACACAGAACTCCAGATGTAGCTTCAGAAGTGCCAAATAGATTGGAAGAATCACCTCCCTTGACCTGCTGGCTATGATCTTGCTGATGCAACCCAGTACGCTGCTAGCCTTTATCTCCAGGGCACAACTGTTGCTCCATGGTCAGCTTGTAGTCCACTGGGACGCTTGCCCTGGTTTCAGCTGGGAGAGAGTTAATTTTCTTCATAGAAGCTGGTGTGGGCTGTGGTTCGGATTTGTCATGAAAATAATGTTGATAACGTGCTGATGTTTTCAGCTGTTGCTAAGTAGTCAAGGACTGTCCAGCTTTGCATGCTGCCCTGCCAGCGAGAAGGTCGGGGTGCATGGGGTGCTGGGAGAGGACACAACCCAGACAGCTGACCCAGGCTGGCCAAAGGAATATTCCATACAATACAATGTCATGTGCAGTATATAAAGCCAGGGGACGGAGGAAGTGAGGGGTGTTCCGAGTTAATGGCGTTTGTCTACCCAAGTAACCGTTACGTGTAATGGAGCCCTGCTTTCCT